CTTATTAATATTCATGAGCTACTTAATATCAGCGCTACTTAGTGACATCAGCGCGCCGCGATGAATATTCATGAGCTCAGCCCTCGCTGTAGTAGGATTCGCGATGTCTCTCTCCGGATGTGTTCATCGCAGGCGGTAGCGATCCAGCAGCAGCAGCAGCAGCAGCAGCAGCAGCGCGGAGGTGAGCGAGTGAGAGCGACTCTCTCAGCAGCATCATGGCGGAGCAGAGCGACTCCCCGGCGGCCGTCCAAACCCCGCAGCCGGCGCTCACCACCAGCTGGCCCATTGTCAAGGAGGCGTACGAGCTCCAGGAGGTGATCGGTGGGTAGTTGCAGATGGATTTGAGCTTGTCAGAGGCTGCGGATTGTTGCTTTAGTTTGGGCCTACCGGCTTTTTCCCCATTTGATGACAGTAATGCAATGCGGATATGACAAGTGGAGCTTCCTCTCTTATGTTTTAAAGCTATTAGATGACAGTGCACATGTTACGAGTGATGATGCTTTATAATAGCACGTGTCCAGTGAGACATCAGGCTACTGCGACGTTTACAGTAAATGTGCTGTTATCATTATACACAGTGAAGGTTATTTTGTCCAAAAAGTGCAACCAAGTTTCAGGGGTTTGAAGTTGATGCATTGCGCAGGCTGGCGGATATCTAACAGGGCACTAATAACAGTGACAACAAGAGTCGTTTTTTATATATTTGTATTATTATTCATATTCTGAGTGTGTAGGGCATGTGTGCGTCTTCTCTGCTCTTGCACGCCTTCGCACTGTCTGTGAGATTCAAAGCTGTCATTTGCTGCATGCGATGCGCTCGCGCTCGCGCTCGTCTCCTGACGCCCTCTGCTGCTCAGATTCAGCGCTTCTCGTTTCTTACAAGCGCAGTTAGTCATTTTTGCTAATTCAGAAAGTTCTTCGCAAAGAAATGAACAGCAATTTTGAGAAATTGAATTACAGTTACACATTTATATATGCCACTTAAACACAAGTGGCGTATTAATCTCATAACACACTGATTTAACAATTTACATATTTTATGTTTATGCTTCATAAAGCACTGCCAAATGTACACATTATTTTTATTAGAATTTATATGTATATTTTATATTATACAGCACACAAAGGGCACATATTAACCCTGTAATGCCGGTCACATGACGTATATATATATATATATATATATATAGATATGCATGCATGCTACAGTTCAAAAGTTTAGGATCAGTAAGACTTTTTATTAAAGAATGTAATACTTTTATTCAGCTAAAACGCATTAAATTGATCAAAAGTGACACTTAATACATTCAAAACGTTACAAAAAAATTATATTTGAAATAAATGTTGTTTTTTGAACTTTCTGTTCTTCAAAGAATCCTAAAAAAACAGTATCACAGTTTCTGCAAAAATATTAAACCACACAACTGTTTTTAACATTGACAATAAGGAATGAGCAGCAAATCAGCATATTAAAATGATTTCTGAAGGATCGTGTGACACTGAAGACTGGAGTAATGATGCTGAAAATACAGCTTTGATCACAGGAATAAATTACATTTTAAAATATATTCAAATCGAAAATAGTTATTTGAAATGTTAATAATATTTCACAATATTATTGTTTACTGTACATTTTATCAAGGAATTGCAACACATTAATAAAAAAAACATAAAAAAATCTTACCGACCACAAAGATTTGAATGGTATTGTACTGTATATAAAATATGATATATTGTAATATTATACAGTATAGCTAAATAATTATATAATTTAATTATAACTATATAATTATATATTACATAACTACATAATTATTAGTGCTGTCAAACGATTAATCGTGATTAATCGCATCCAAAATAAAAGTTTTTGTTTACATAATGTGTATGTATATATAAATGCACACACATGCATGTATATATTTCAGAAAAATATGACATGTTAATATATTAAATATATTTATTTAGAATATAAATGATATGAATATAAATATAGACATGTAAATATTTTCAAAATATATACTGTATGTGTGTGCATTTATATATACATAATAAATATACACAAAACACACACATATATTATGCAATCAAAAACGTTTATTTTGTATGCAATTAATCGTTTGACAATTAATTATAATAATTATATTAATTTAATTGTAACTATATAATAGGTACATACTAATAATTTCGTATAATACGATTAGTGGTCAACCAATGTGGCTTTTTCAACATTTAGAGAGAATGGTAGCTGCTGGCATATATACATACATAATGGAAAAGTATGTGAACCCATGGAGTTTCATTTTGCCTCACTTCCCAGTTCAGTCAATGACAGACAGCATGAAGATACTTGTAACGGAAGAGGTCTGATGCAACAGGTTAATTTATATCAAATAGGTTTATTGGGTCACAGAGAGTACTGGGGTAGGGTTCAGAGGATGTGATGGTGAGGGAATAGTTCGAAGGGTATGATGAGCGGGGTAATCCGGGTCCTTGGCTGTACAGGAGCTGGAATGCAGGCAGGAGGAGCACACAAGAGGTCTGACGCAACAGGTTAGTTTATATCAAATAGGTTTATTGGGTCACAGAGAGTACTGGGGTAGGGTTCAGAGGATGTGATGGTGAGGGAATAGTTCGAAGGGTATGATGAGCGGGGTAATCCGGGTCCTTGGCTGTACAGGAGCTGGAATGCAGGCAGGAGGAGCACACACCTCAGCGATCCGGGAACTAGGAGGAACAGGAGACACTAGGAGGCAAGTAATGCAGGAAGTATTCAAATGGAAGTAGTAGCAAAGTCATTGAGTCCTCTACGTGTATACGAGACCGGACAGTGAGGGTGTCTGAGGTGTGTGCTTTTATGCAGGCTGGTAATGAGGTGCTTGATTGGTGACAGGTGCAGGTGCTCAGAACTCAGGTGAGAGGGATCGTTGTGATTGGGTGGTGGTGGAACCTGGCCGATCTGTTACAATACTCCTGCCTCCAGGAAACTGGTTTCAGACATCATGATGTCCTAGATCAAATTCAAATGATCTTTAGGCAGAACCAAGCAAATATTAATAAGTTAAAAATGGACATTTGACTGCATTCACAGGGTTGTGAGATATCACAGACATTAAAGGGCACTTGGCACACCTCAGATTGAAACCTTTTGACTTGCGAGCTGAAAAGGGGTTACGCAATCATCTCTGAATGGCGTTCACCAACACACAGTAAAGCAAACTGTCTTTAAATGGAGAAAGTGCAGCGCTGTGGGGTGTCCAGCAAAGAGTAAGCCACTGCTGTCCCAAAAAAACATTGCTGCACGTCAGAAATGTGCAAAAAGTCACTTGGACAGTTGCTGTCATGGAGGGAAAAATGAATTCCCGAGTTTATAAGATTCAGACCATTTAGCAGGAGACTGAAAGCCATCTGTCTGTCAGCTGAAACTCAACAGAAGTCGGTAAATCAACACACGAGTTTCAACAAAATCCATCGCTTTGAGCGACCCAGTCTGAGTTCTGACCTCAGCATAACCTACAGAGATAGACAACCTGAAAATACTGCAGAACTGAAACCGTTTGGTTTAGAAGAAGAGGTTATTGCTGCCAAAGTAAGGCCAATTGGGTTCACATACTTTTTCCACTCACACTGAGCTTTATAAAGAAATGAAGTAGTTTGTATTGTTATTTGCTTGAGCAGACTGTGTTTGTCTATTCCTGATGAGTTGTTTGAGAATGAGATCAAATTTACATGGTAAATCCAAGGGTTCAAATACTTTTCCTTGCAGCTGGATGAAATATAATCTAATGATTGCAAATAATATGCACACAAGTTGCTGAATTTAAATGTCATTTTAATCACCTTTGCGGGTTTTGTGCATAATATGTACTCACTACTCACGCTGTTGGTAGATTTTTGCAACTGAATAGGTGAAAATAACCACTTTCATAATATCTATAAATTTGCATATTTAAAGGGGTCATATGATGCGATTTCAAGTTTTTCTTTCTCTTTGGAGTGTTACAAGCTGATTGTGCATAGATAAGATCCCTGAAGTTGCAAAGATTAAAGTCTCAAAACCAAAGAGATATTCTTTATCAAAGTTAAGACTCTGCCACGCCCCCCTAAAACGGCTGGTTCTAACAAGCCCCCACATATCTACCTCACTATGTGGAAATATTAGCATAATGCCACCCGAATGTTCACGCAAAGAAAGAAGGCGTGGTTTCAATAACCGCAGTTAGTGTTGAAGCAGCATGTCAGGGAGACGCTGTGTGTTTCAGTGCGAAAGCAAAAGCACTTTATTTGGCCTTCTGAAAGTAGATGCATTTAGGAATCTTTAAGATCACTTACAACAGAAAAGCAATGCATTTTATGGACGACCGTTTCGTGAACCT